GGCATTGGCATTTTTGGGTGCTGTTGTTATGATTATTATGATTATGATTCTTATATTTTATTCATTAAACATGAAACTCAGTCAACTGAACATTTAAAAATGTGTCACAACTACCATTGACTGGTGCTAATGTTGATATGGGTTGCTTTCTTTAGCATTAGCTAAAACTACAAAATTAAGGATTCCTAAATAATCAGAATGTCATCTTGGTCTTTTTAACAGAGCAATTGGCCTTACGTTTCAAGTTCCCTCAAGGACTGTAGAAGGCCTAAGAGGTTGGGAGATGAGTAATCAGAGATGCTAGGCTAGATCAACCTCTTCCCCCCGCCCCCTAACAAAATTTCCAGCCCTGTCTAGGATGAATTTGTGCTGATTGGTCCTCTGACTCATCCACATTAGATATGTGTGTATGGCTTTTCCCCAATTATTATATGTGTTGTCCGGGTCCTTGAGTTTCTTCATAATTGTTGTCTCTTGCTGGCAATGTGCTGGCACTATGACATCCAGTATAGAGAATTGGTTAGAATGTTGGATTCTGGCTGAGGAAGATTATGCTCAAAAATATCTTTGGAAACAAAAGGTTGTAGAGTAGCCATGGCCTCATTCCTATCTCTTTGTTTAGGATTTTAAAAAGGGAGGGGGATTTACACTAAGCTTCTTGGAGAGAAAAAGGATTTTAAACTATGGAACTAGACAAAAGTTAGAGTAAATTTAGAAGTTCCAAAAGATTGATGCCTGCTATTTTGAAGGTCAAATTCATTAGACTAAGCAAGTGAAAGTGGGAATAAAGCTGAAACAACCATTCAGTCAATCAGTCAGTTTCTCCCTCCCTCCCCCACTCTCTCCCCCACCCTATGTGAGTGTGTGAATTGCCCGTTGGCCATGGGCATACTTATTCAGCAGCACCTTACATCTGTCAGAAGGCTACATCCGTTACCCTTCTGACAATCAGAGCCACCTTTGGATGTTTTCCGGATGCTCACTATTTAAACAAGGGTGAGCTGGACGTAAGGGACAATTGTGAGTACAGATTCTCCCAATTGTTTCCTCTCCTTTCAAATGCATCGGAACAAAATGTCCAAGCTTGTAGTCTATGTTTCACTGTGTTCCATGCTCTGGATGGAAGGAAGCCAGTGGGAGAGTTCATTATAGTGCACTAAATTAGCCAATAAGCCTGCATGCATTGTGCAGCGGAAGTATTTGGGCAGCCCCTGTTCCTCAATGACAGCTGCTTGGCATCAAATGTTGTAATTATCAACTCAGAAAGAGAGAGGCATTTGAAGAGAGAGAGAGAATAAGAACAGCAGCTAGCACAGAAAAATTGGGATGTGATCTGCTTGCCATTGAACTTAACATCATATTAAAAATTATCCTGTCTGTTGAGATTCAGGTGGATTCCTTGTCACTGCATCATAGGAGCAAATATTAGCTTTCCTATATAATAAATCCAGCCTGTCTGTGTTTTTGCTAAATGGTCTTTCTTTGGCCCTTAGCAGAAAAGTCAGTATCTTGCACTTACAGCCTGCTGCTCCTTTATTATTTATTTATTTATTTATTTATTTATTTATTTATTTATTTATTTATTTATTTATTTATTTATTTATTTATTTATTTATTTATTTATATTTATTATTGTCATCATGTACAAGGTAACAGGTATCAATGGGGAGAGTAAGACAGGGACAGTAGGCATGTTGGTGTGCTTATGCACGCCTCCTTAGGGACCTCTTAGGAAACGTGTGAGGTCCATGGTGGACAGTTTACGGTTAAAGATATGGGAGTTTGAGGAACTAAAAATGGAATCAGGTAGAGTGTTTCAGGCATTGGCCCCTGTATTGCTGAAGTCGTATTTTCTGCAATCGGGTTTGGAGTGGTCTACTTTGAGTTTGTATCTATTGTTTGCCATGTATTATTGCTGCTGAAGTTGAAGTAGTCATTTACAGGTAGGACGTTATAGCAGATAATTTTGTGTATTACGCTTAGGTCGGAATATAGGCAGTGTAGGTCGAGGTTGTCCAGGCTTAAAATTTCAAGCTTTGTGGCATAAGGTATTTTATTGCGAGCAGATGAGTTAAGTACTCTTCTTGTGAAATACCTCTGGACCTTCTCTATTGTATTAATGTCTGATATACAATGTGGATTCCAGACAGGTGAGCAGTATTCAAGGATTGGTCTAGCAAAGGTTTTTTATGCCCTAGTTAGCAGTTCACAAGACCTACTATCCACTCATCTTAGGACATGTGTAAAAGATCCAGTGTCAAGATCTTCCAGTCAAGGAGAAAGATGTTTGCCTACCGTGTTTCTACCGTGTTTCTTTTGACCCCCGAAATAAGTACTTGGCCTTATTTTCAGGGAGATTTTATTATTTTTGAGGTGCAGGAGGTGATGAGCGTGGGTCACTTCATGGCTGCTGCTGTGTTGCAATATTTTTGGGGAGGGTTTATTTTTGGGAAAGGGCTTATTTTAGCGCATGCACTCAAAAGCCAAATTGGGAGTATTATCCGGGGAGGTCTTATTTTGGGGAAAACAGGATAGATATTGTGGAGCAACTAACAGTAAAAGTTTATCAGCCTTCCCCTACCTGGTGGAGGATAGATGTTTTGTGACTGCAACTTTCTGGGAATTAAGTCCCAAAACATCTGGAAGGTACTGAATGTTATAGAAAAGTAAGCCAGCTAAATCAATGTATAAGATTGGTTCGGGTCTTCATAGAAATTAATTCAGCAAAGCTTAGCCTCAATTAAATTGGAATGCCTGAGTTTACAACTGGAGGTTTCGTTTTCTCTGTGATTAGGCTCCCTTATTCAATTTAAATAGGGTGTTGCATTTTGGAACCATTTTTACAAAGATCATGCTATGATTATGAATAAACAAATAAATTAGCTTTCCTTATCATATTATTGCAGCATCCTTTGCATTAGTATATACTCTTTTCATCATCTCAAGAGGTTATGAAACAGGCAGAGTTGTTATGTAGAATTAGGGGCGCTGAGCAGTAGCCAGGAGACAACAATGACTGGAAGGCACAGCAAAACGAAACAAAAGAACAGAACCAAGGAGCATCTCTAGTTCTCCTAAATCTTATCTATTTTCAAAAAAAAGAGACTTCAAGGAAAACACCAGTGGAACCAAAGATTAAGTCTATTAGCAATAAGTTCCTTTAGCAGCCTATTATACAAACTCCTTTAAAAATATTGGTCCATCTTTTTTCTTATCTCTATCTCTCCCCTTTTTACCTTGACCATAATTGTAAATCATATTTGTTAGAATGGAATGCCTTCTTTATCCTGCTTGTTGAATGAAACAGACAGAATAAGTGGCAGTTTTATTTAAGAAGAGCAAGAGATCAGGGCCACAGAGAAAGCTGGATTCAATTAAAAGAGGATGTACTTTGTCTTCCCGGGTTATGTGAAATCACCACCCCTTAATAAAGGGAAATATTTGTTAAAGGAACTTAAAAACGATTGTGACATGAGACAAATGAGCTTTGTTTTCCTTGGTGTCCTTGGCAGATAGGAAATAACTCTTTCTGTGACAGTTTTCCTAACCCAGCATGACCCAGGTTGTAGCACATGTTTAGGACCTCGGCAAGATTTCCAATGCACATTCAACTCTGTGAAATTTCCCTCCCTGACCACCCAAGGAGTTCAGAAAGACTCAATTTGGACAGGCTTGGCAATGTTCCATTAAATGTCAATACAAATACTCTTAAGTACTTGTTACTAGAAGTTGTCATAGTTGTATACATGAGTATGAATTCTGATGAATAAGGAAATAAGCAAATTACCTTGAAAGTTTATAAGGTCTTATGCTCCAGTAATGTTAATAAAAAGATGGCCAGGGAGCTGTAAGAAATTGATTGATTGATTGATTGATTGATTGATTACTTTATTTGGCCAAGTGTGATCAGAAGCACAAGGAATTTGTCTTCAGTGCAGAAGCTCTCAGTGTACATGGAAAGCAACAATCATCATCATCATCATACCATAAGAGCGGAGAATAAAGAAGATAATAAGGAAAATACTACTATAGTCATACTACAAATTATTTGAATGCAGCCTGTTTTGGAGCAGGAAGTAGGAAGCCTAGCTAAGATGTCACACTGGAAACAGACTAAATTGCAGACTCTGTAAAGATGAACAAAGTTGCCTGTTTCATTTGATATGAAATTAGTATTCTTTTTCTAACCACAAAAGTTTCTATTTTGATTTGGCATCTATTTGCAGCATGCATTCTTTATGCATATTTGTTCTCTATATGTGCATTTCTTTGCACGGAATTTCCCCTAATATAGGTATTTTCATAGGCCATCTTCTATGCTATTTTTAGATACTTTTATTGGTCAAAGTACAACACTGCAAAAGATAAAAGATCATCGTGTTGGCGTTCCAATTCGTCCATTATCAATTGTGGGAGAAAAAAATTACAATTTGAAAAAATTCAATTGTATCAGTAACCAATCAATTTCTTCTCCAATTCTAGTCATTAATACGCATTGCTCTCTACTTGGCCTAATTTCTGAAGGGTTTTTATCTTTTCATTTTGAAAACATTCAAGCTATTAACATTACAATTTTGCTCTTTCAACATTATCAATAAAAATAAAGAAATCAAGGTAGTTGTAATCAAATAAAAATTTATGTTTATTTTTATTGGTGCCAAGAGAGAGAAGGATGAGTATTCAAAATACTTAGGGTCATTTTCAGTTATATAAACGCTATTTTATCTGGAATGTATTTACAGCCACAATTTATTTGTTTGTAGAAGATTATTTATATCTTTGCAATACTGCAAAGCTCAGTATAAGCTCCGATCCTTTTTATTTTATCATAATATTTTTAATCATGAGAAAGGGTAAAATCTAGACATCTCAATTTCTGTGACCCATCTCAATAGACTTCGAAAACCCTCATAGCAAACTTCATTCAATGCGCTATAAGTTTCCACTGTTGAAAATCTTACTAGAAATGGATGACTGATCCTCATTTTTTTACATTATAGTTGTCCAGCATATCAAGCGCCACAATATCGTCCTCAAAAGGGAGCTGGGAGAAGGAGCTTTTGGCAAAGTCTTCTTGGCTGAATGTTACAACCTTTGTCATGAGCAGGATAAGATCTTGGTTGCTGTAAAGGTAAAAAAAAATCCTATAGACTTGTGTTATATATCGGGCATTTCTGTTTCTCCAGAATAAGCTATTTCTTTCTGAGAATATTACTCCCATTATTGTTTAGATTGATCCGCATTTGGTTTTCAACTGTAATACTTCTTTCTCTATGTATTTACAAAATTGTGTTAATTGCTGTTGTTTTAAGGCCTTTAATTTGCAGTCCAAGAATTATATACAACTCTGCACCATTTTTGATTCTGGTGCTCTACAAGTTTCTCTAAGAACTGCTAGTAACTGTAACAGTTACTGTGATGAATTGAAAAACTATTAAATATATAAAGAATTTTTTTGCTACTTGTGTTGAATAAATTCAATGCAGTATTAAGGATGCATGCAAACAAATGAAATCTAGTTGAATTTTTTGTCCTGGCCTTACCCATTTGGGAGATTATGTCCCCTCCAGCACACCCCACAGAGGAAAAGTGAAGCCTTAAAAATGTTCTGGGCCCCTGTGGCAAATCTTGATGAACTCTGCAATGAATCCCATTGCATTGCATCTACAGATAGTCCTTGACTCATGACCACAATAGGGACCAGAACTTCTGTCACTAAGTAATGTAATAGTTAAGTGAATTGTGCCCACTTTTACAACCTTATTTGCTGAGCTATTAAGCGAACCATGTGGCCGTTAAGCGACCATTGCTTGTTGGAAGCCTCCTTGGGAAGGTTGTAAATGGTGATCATGTGACTTTGGGATTTTGCAATCATCATAAATACATGCTGGTTCCCAAGTGCCCAAATTTTGATCATATGCCAGCGAGAATGCTGCGATGATCATAAATATGAGAACCGGTCATAAGTGATCTTTTCAGGATCTTTGTAACAGTAAGTCATGTACCACTTGTGTGTCCCCAGTCTTAGTTTTGTACATTTAACACAAACTGTAAATGCAGGAAGTTTGTAAACTTTATTTGTGAATTGAGAGTGCCAATCCTTTCCAGAGATTCTCAGTTATGGAACAGTCTATGCTATTACAGCTGTATTTCTTACCTAGGGGCAAGCAATTATGACCTCTTTACGATCTGTGGACTTCAACTCCCAGAATCCCTGAGTCAACCATGCTACCTAAGGAGTTCTGGGAGTTCAAGTCCACAGGTCGTAAAGGGGCCAAAGTTGCCCAACCTTGGTTTTCTCTGTCAGAAGAATACAAGGATTGAGCAGGCCCAGTGTATGTAACCATTTTCTCTTCCTCAACTGCTTTCATACATTTAACAAATATGCACAAAATAAGTCTTTTTTTTTTACACATCTGGGATTTGACTTCAAAACTAAGAATAGCTTTCATTTGGATTCACTTTGTTTTTCTAACCCCATGGTTGTCTCTGTGATAAAACGATGAAATAAACAAGCACAATTCATGCAAGAAGAAATCCAGAAACAAGCACACTAAGGATATGTTATGGAGTCTGATGAAACCAACTCCAGAATAAGTGTCAGTTGCGTTGAACACCAGTTCTGCAAAATGGTTTCTATTTTCTCCAGTTGAGACGGAATACTTTGTGACTGATATGTCCATTCAAAGGAAATGTAGATTGAGGAGTAGCAGAACAAGCAGAACATATCTTTGTTAATGTTCAAGCATTGTCACATTTTCTTTTCATTCATTGGATCTTTGACATGCCTCCCCACTGGTTGCTGAGCAACCCAGAAAAGCATTGTGTACTGCATGCATGTGAAGAAATAGCTACTGTTGTGCCTTGTGGGAAGTCTACAGCTGAAAATGAAGTGCTTGGCAAGGAAAGGGGGAGAGCAAAAAAAAAAAATCAGTGGATATTCTGATCTTGTAACCATAAATAATTTGAAAAGAGTGGGTATTCCAAGATCTTGTATAGAAATAGGATAAATAAATATACACACGTTCACACATAAAAAAGAAAACCATGGTTAGCTTTTTTGAAAGGAGAAGGTCCCAAAGGTGCTGTTCAAAAGGTAACTGGACTTTCTTGATATTTTCTTTGAAAACATTTCGCTTTTCATCCAAGAAGCTTCTTCAGTTCTGAAATGAAGAAACTTCTTAGATGAGAAGCGAAATGTCAAGAAAGTCCAGTTCTCTTTGGAACAGCATCTTTGGGACAACCATGATTGGAGGACTGAGAATCTTCATAGAGAAGGAGAAGGAAAAGGAAAAGGAGAAAGATGGGAGCAATGGGTTTATTTTTACTTTCAATTTGTTTATAGAGAGTTTGATTTGTAGGTGTCCACTTTCCAGTGAGCTTCTGTGCAGAAGGACTTAAGTGAGATTTAAATGACATGCCGGCTTTCCATAATAAGCCTTCTAAAGCAATGTGATGAGGGGTTATGCTAAATGGAAATAGCATTTTTCTATCTTGTTTGAAAGTCGACTTGTGCTCCATTGTTTTTATCCAGAAATGGGGTGATCTTATTCTACAAGGACACACTGGCAACAGGCTAAATTGCAGACTTATGTAAAGATTGCCTGTTTTGTTTCATATGAAATTAGTATTTTTTTTTCCCTAACAACAAAATTATCTATCCTGGTTTGGAATCTGTTTGCAGCATGCATTCTTATGCCTTTTTGTTCTTAATATCTGCATTTCTTTGCAAGCAATTTCCCGTAATACAGCTATTTTCGTATGCCATCTTCTACACTATTTTTAGATACTTTTATTGGTCAAAGTACTACACTGCAAAAGATAAAATACAATTGTGTTGGCATTCTAATTTATCTATTATAGATTTTGGAGCAACAATTAATTCAAATTGTATCAACATGCGGAACTGACTGATTTCTTCCACAATTCTAGTCACCCGTACACATTGTTCTCCATGGTTTCCGTGTTTTCATTTTGAAAACATTCACGCCACAGAATTTTGCTGTTTAAAAATATCAGTAAAGATAAAGAAATCAGTAAAGATAAAGAAAGTAATTGCATGTCTTCATATGAAAATTGATGTTTATCTTTTTTTATGGTGCTAGGCGGGATAAGGATGAGTATTCAAAATACTAGGGGATCATTTTCAATATATAAAAGAAGTAGGGATCACTTTCAGTATATAATCTAGAAGATTATCTCTATCTTTGCAATATTGCAAAGCTGAGTATAAGCTCTGAGCCTTTCTACTTTATCATAATATTTACAAAAACCTTACAATGTTATTTTGGGCTCAAAAGGAATGATAGTAATGTGGGAAAATTGCCCAAAATATTGTTTTCTCCATAAACAGAGTTGCCTCCAGTTTTGAATTCATTCTTCTTTTTCCTGGCCTCCACCACTTATAGAATTTGGTCCAATTCTATTCAGTGTTTAGGGAGTTATCCTTCAGATGGACCAACAAATAAATGAGCATTTACAGTTCAGGATCATTTTAGGTGAGTTGATTGAGAAACATTTTAAGATGATAGTAACTGTTTACTATCTTTACTAAGGAGAGCTACTTTGACCTAGTGGTTAACACATCAGGCTAGAGACCAGGAAACTATGAATTCAAGTCCTGCTTTAGTCATGAAAGCCAGCTGGGTAGTCCCTTTCTCTCAGCCCAACCCATCTCACAGAGTTGTTGTAGAGAAAAATAGGAGAAGGGAGCAGTATTAAATAGATCCATCGCCTTGAGTTTTTTCTAAAAATTATAAAGGTGGAATACAAACAAACAAAGTCCTAAAATTAATGAGGAAAATAAAATGTTCTTCCAGACACAGCAATGATTTAGACAAAGACATCTATTTAATTTCAAGAAAAGTTAAACATTCATCTGAAGAAAAGCTTTATAGCAACTCTACTGTTGTCTGGATTAGAACATGTGCATGGGACCTGTCCTCAGAGTTTCCAATAAATTCATGGAGATAGGAGGATGTGGTGGCCACTGAAAGATCCTCCCTTCCCAATGCATTCCTCTTAATTCTGCAAAAGGCATCTGGAAAGTGCTGAGGTCAGAGAGTGACAGAGAGGGCAAGGAGAATACAATTGTATCACAGCGGCCAGTTGTTTCGCCGGATTTGGGATTGGTTACTAGTCGGGCCCCACCCAGGGGCCTAGGACGT